ACAGCCTTCTGCAGTTGAGAATGCTGCCCCTGATTTTTGACCTAATGCTTAATCCAATGGCAAACAGAGAACCTCCCTCCCAAAGGGCTAGGGGAGTGAGGACCAGTGGTTTGTTGTGAAGACCAAGAGGACACTATGCCCTGGGCATGTAACTGCCCCAGCTTTGCAGGAAGTCACAACACAGGTAAAACAGGGAGAAGAGCCCATGGGAAGAAAAAAACAAACAAACACAACTCATCCAGCTTCCTACACTTTTTCAGCTTCAGCTTCACTTACATAGGTGTGTGTGTGTGTGTGTGTGTGTGTGTGTGTGTATGTGTGAGAGCAAATTTCACATAACATAAAATTCACCATTTCAACCATCTTAAAGTTTACAATTCAGTGGCATTAGTACATCTATGATGCTCTTAAACCGTCACCACAATCTAGTTCCAGAACATTTTAATCATTGTAAAAGGAAACTCATACCTATTAGTCACTTCCATTTCCCCCTTCCCTAACCCCTGACAACCACTAATCTACTTTGGTACAGAAATCTCTATATAATGTCATATTCTAGGTATTTCATATCAATGCAACCATATAATATGTGACCTTTTGTCTGTCTTCCTTCACTTAGCACTATGTTTTCAAGGTCCATACATGTAGCATGTATCAGTGTTTCAATGTTTTGTTTTGTTTTTGTGAGCAAGTAATATTCTATTGCATAGATGTATCACATGGGCTTATCCATTTATCAGTTGATGGTCATTAGATTATTTCCAACTTTTTGCTATTTTGAATGTTGCTGCTATGAACATTCATCTACTTGTTTTTCATTCTTTTGAGGGTATGCGTAGGAGCTGAATTCCACAATTACGTGGTAATTGTGTTTAATGGGCCATCTTTTAAAAAATACAACATAAATAAAATTTAGGTAAATTCAACAAAATCATTATCATATTTTAGTTGGAAGTAAGAGCTCTCAAAAAGATGATGAAAGCCCTAACCAGTTTGGCTCAGTGGATAGAGCGTCAGCCTGCGGACTCAAGGGTCCCAGGTTCAATTCCCATTAAGGGCAGGTACCTTGGTTGTGGGCACATGCTCAGTGGAGAGTGTGCAGGAGACAGCTGATCGATGTTTCTAACTCTCTATCACTCTCCCTTCCTCTCTGTAAAAAAATCAATAAAGTATATTTAATAAATATTGTTCAGATTATTACAATTGTTCCTCTTTTTCCCCCCATAGCTCCCCTCCACACAGTTCCCACCCCACCCTCTGCTCTTACCCTCCCCCCTTCAATCTCTTCCCATAACCCCCACACCTCTTTCCCCCCAAGAATTGTCAATCCACTCCCTTTCTATGCCCCTGATTCTATTACACTCACCAGTTTATTATCTTCATCATATTTTTTATTCACTAGATTTTTAGATTCACTTGTTGATAGATATGTATTTGTCATTCATAGTTTTTATCTTTACCTTTTTCTTCTTCTTCCTTTCAGCATTTCATATAATACTGGGTTGGCGGTGATGAACTCCTTTAGCTTTTTCTTGTCTGTGAAGCTCTTTATATGTCCTTTAATTCTAAATGATAGCTTTGCTGGGTAGAGTAATCTTGGTTCTAGGTTCTTGCTATTCATCACTTTGAATATTTCTTGCCATTCCCATGTGGCCTGCATGGTTTCTGTTGAGAAATCAGCTGACAGTCATATGGGTGCTCCCTTGTAGGTAACTGTTTTTCTCTTGCTGCTTTCGAGTAAGATCACTGGGTGAATTGAGGGGGTGAAGAGGTTCTATCAGCAGAGTTCCATCCCTGACTCTTCCCTTTCTCTCACACCTCACATCCAATCCATCAGCAAAGCATTCAAAATACATCTATAATCTGACTAATATATAGATTGCTCACCTGAATCACGGCAACAGCCTCCTAACTGGGACCCCAATTTCTGTTCTTACTCCAAAGAGGATTCTGGATAAATGTCAGACCATCTTTGTCTTATCTGAAAACCTTCCAGTGGCTTCACTTTACACTTAGATGAAAATCCAACGTGCTCACAGGGCCTGCAAGGACCGGCGCTGGCCTTCTGCTACCTGTCGGCCTCATTCCTCCTCACTCACCCTCTGCAGCTTCTCTGGCCTTCACAGACACGTCAGGCACACTCCTCCTCTAAGTGCCTGCTGACCTCTCTGCCAGGGAAGGTCTTTGTCCAGATATCACCTTCTTACGTGGGATCCTATTCTAGCTTTCTTTTTCTCCAGAGCACTTAACATCTTTGAGATTCTGCATAATTTACCAACTTATTTTCCACCATCTATGAGCACGTAAGCTCCAGATGCAGAGAACTGATAAATGGTTGCTAGAGGGGAGGGGGCTGAGGGGTTGGGTGAAAAAGGTGAAGAGATTAAGAAGTGCAAATTGGTAGTACACAATATTCACAGGGATGTAAAGTACAGCAAGGAGAATATAGCCAATACTATTGTATAGGTAGGTATAGTGCCAGGTAGGTGGATAACTTTGTAAAGTATATGAAAGTAGCAAGTGAAGGGAAGCATGGAGAACCTCAAACGCTTTTTTTTTTTGGTTGTTCTTTCTGGTCACTGAATGCTTTTTGCTATAGCCACTTCAGGAAGACAACTCTGGCGGGGTTATGGGAAAAGTATTTTTTAAAAAGACTTTATTTTATATATATATATATATATATATATATATATATATATATATATATAATATATTATATATATAATATACAAAATACATAATATATATTTTATATATAAATATATATTATATATAATATATAATATATAAAATAATATATATTATATATTATTATATATAATATATAATAATATATATTATATATATATAAATATATATATATAATTGATTTTTTTACAGAGAGGAAGGGAGAAGGATAGTTAGAAACATCGATGAGAGATTGAAACATCGATCAGCTGTCTCCTGCATAGCCCCTACTGGGGATGTGCCCATAACCAAGGTACATGCCCTTGACCAGAATCAAACTGGGACCCTTCAGTCCGCAGGCTGAGCCAAACCAGTTAGGGCAAGACTTTATTTATTTTAGATCACTTTTAGGTTCACAGCAAAATTGAGAGGAAGGTACAGAGACTTACTTCCCTTAGGCTCTCTGCCCCAGGCTTTCACAGCCTCCCCCCCCCGCCCCCCCCACCATCCCCTTAGCAACATCCCCATCAGAGAGATTCATTTGTTACAACTGAGGAATCCACACAGATACATTACTATCACTCAAAGTTTGTAGTTTACATTACCACTCAATCTGGGAGTTGTACATTAGATGCACAATGTATATGATATTGTATTATGACATGTATCCATCATTATAGTATCATGGTGAGTAAAAAATCCTTTGTGCTCTGTTCATTCATCTCTTTCCCTGCCCCCACCCCTCTTTCCCACAACTCGTGGCTACTACCGATCTTCTTACTGACTCTATAGTTTTGCCTGTTCCAGAATATCACACAGATGGAATTACAGAGGTTGGCATCTTTCACTTAGTAATTTGCATGTAAGGTTTCCCCATGTCTTTTCATGGCAGCTCATTCCTTTCTTTAAGCACTGAATATCATCCCATTGTCTGAATATACCAGTTTGCTTGTTTATTTACAAGTTTATTTATTCATTCATCTACTGAAGGACATCTTCATTGCTTTTAAGTTTTGGCAATTATGAATAAAACTGCTATAAACATCTGTGTGCAGGTTTTTGTGTGAACATACGTTTTTTTTCCCCTCTGGAAATAAATACCTAGGAGCACAATTGCTGGATCCCATGTTAAGTGCATATTTAATTTCATAAGAAATTGCCAAACTATCTTTCAAAGTGGATGTACCATTTTGCATTGCCACCAGCAATGGATGAGAGTTCCTGTTGTTCCAAATATTTGCCAGCAGTGGTGGTTCGGAGACTTGGATTTTGGCCATTCCAATAGGCACGTAGTGGCATGAAAGATGGTTTTCAGGATGCCACATGGCAGGTAAGTGAACCAGCGAAGGGACTTCACTTTTCTAGAGCCACATCATGGCAGCTATGTCCTTAAATCTCCTATTATTGGTCCTAATAGCCAAGTTAGCAAAGTCAAATAATTAAGCCAATAGTATGCTTGAGTTTTTTGGAGCAGAGATGTTCATAATAAATATTTTGATAGAAAAAAATTATTCAAAGTGGTCTATTGAATAGTTCATTTTTTTCTTAATACTTTCTCAATTTTTCAAGTTTAGGTATTGTTTCCCTTTCCCTCTTGTTAAACCAGGAAATGCAAAGATGAAAGTCATGCTTCCTCTAATATAGAATGAATAAAACTAGTTTTAATTTAGCAGAGCTTTGTGATAAGAAACAAGGGGAAATGCCTCTCTCAATTTAGGCAAATGAGATGGAGTTCTAAAGACTATCAGACTCTAGAACATCACTGATCGTGAAAACTGCTCACTCAGTCTCAGTTTTCTTTCCTTTTTTTTTTTTTTTTTTTCAGTTTCCAAGTAATTTTATTCAGAATTTTGTTTCCTGAATCAATAAATACTATACAAAACAATGTAAAAATGGCTACTATTTTTTCTCCCCTGCTCCCCCCCCCATGGGGACAATCCCCTGGGCCACCTAACTCAAGGGTTCTCCCTCCAGATTTGGTCCAGTAAATGAGGTTGAGTGACACAGCCCCCTTGAGGAATCATTTTCAGAGGAATTTGGCTGGAGCAGGGAGTCTGGGGTTTGGAGGTAGACTAGGTTAGGGAAGAGAATTAGTGTTTTGGGGAGAAGAGATGGCGCCTGGGGCATGAGTCTACCCCAACGAAAAGGGTATCTAAATTGTTCACGGTTCCTTCTTTGCCTCAAAAAGTGACATTTATTCAAAGGGGGGGAAAAAAAGAAAAAAATTGACAAGATGTCCATCCCTTGGCTCCCTTCCCTCCCCCCTCCTGCTCCTCCTCAGCCTGCCAAAAACTGAGAACCCTGGCTGGGATGAGATAGCAGGCCAGCCCCTCTCAGATGAGGTCAGCAACATTGAGGGGCATCTCCTCAATGGAGGTGTTGTAGAAGGTCTCGATGTCTCGAAGAGTCCTCTTGTCTTCTTCTGTCACCATGTTAATAGCCACACCCTTACGGCCAAAACGTCCACCACGACCGATTCTGTGGATATAGTTTTCCCTGTTGGTGGGAAGGTCATAGTTGATGACTAGAGAAACCTGCTGTACATCAATGCCTCTGGCCAGCAGGTCAGTGGTGATCAATACTCTGCTCGAGCCAGAGCGGAACTCCCTCATGATTATATCTCCGTGCATGGTAGAGAAGTGAAGTCTCGGGCATGCATCTTCTCAGTGAGCCAATCAACCTTTCTTCGGGTGTTGATGAAAATGACTGACTGGGTGATGGTGAGGGTTTTGTATAAGTCACACAATGTGTCCAGCTTCCACTCCTCTCTTTCCACGTTGATGTAGAATTAGCGGATACCCTCCAGAGTCAACTCTTCCTTCTTGACGAGAATGTGAATGGGGTCCCTCATGAACTTCTTGGTCACCTCAAACACATCAGAAGGCATTGTAGCTGACAGCAATACCACCTGGGTGTTGCTGTTGAGTTTTTGGAATATGTCATAGATCTGGACCTTGAACCCACGACTTAACATTTCATCAGCTTCATCCAGTACAAACATCTTGATGTATTTGGGAGACAGATATCTGCGATTAAGCATGTCAAACACACGTCCTGGGGTGCCAACGATGATATGGGGAGCTTCCATCTGTAGCTTCTGCATCTCTGCACGCACGTTGGTACCCCCAATGCAGGCATGGCAGGAGGCACCCATGTAATCTCCGAAAGCCATGACTACTTTCTGTATCTGCTGCGCCAATTTTCTAGTAGGTGCCAGGACCAAGGCCTGAGTGGCCTTTAGGTCCAATTCAATCTGCTGCAGAATCAAAATGGCAAAAGTGGCTGTTTTTCCTGTCCCAGATTCGGCTTGAGCAATCACATCATAACCCTTGATACAAGGAAGAATGGCTCGCTGCTGAATGGCAGAGGGCTTCTCAAATCCATAGGCATAGATGCCACGGAGGAGGGACTCTGAGAGGTTCATGTCATTAGAGCTGTCAACGATCTCATTCCAGTTGCTCTCAATGACGCCCTCAAGCTCCATTCCATCGGGGCCATTGTCTCTGGATCGGGGATCTTGACTCGCAGACATGATCCTTAGAAACTAGCTCAGTCTCAGTTTTCTTAATCTCCTGGTTTCACCAATTTGACTATGAGCCCCTGGATAGTTAAAAACATAATACTTATATACATATCTTATATTCCACAATGTAAATCATGTTTTCTTGATGGATTAGAATGATAATTTCCTCGTTTTCAAAGAATATTTAATACTTTAATTAATTTTTAAATTTTAAATTAATTCTATAAATGCTATGCTGAAATAATATGCATAACTAAACATCCTTTATCTCATGAAATAACATATTTAAATATTTAGATTTCATGAAGTATATCATTATGTATATTATACACTATTTTATCTTTCCCTCATGAACAACCCGTGTTGTAGGTATTACTGAAGCCATATTATCTGTGAGGAAACTGGGCCCAATAAAGACTATGTGCCCCATGAAGTGCCCAATCATTTAGTAAGTGATGGAACCAGGCACTAATCAGCGCTCATGGCCAAAGATGTTTTCTTTTCCACTGTACTCTCCTGTGTCTATTGTTCCATCAATGCAATTAAGAACCTCCACAACACTGTCATCCCTTTAGAGGCACAGCTGATTAGTTGTGGATATTTTATCATAGAAATACTAAAGCTTTGTAGACTCTGATACACCTCCATATAGATCTGACTAGTACTACCTACACCCAAGGCAAAGCCAATGAGTTGGATTTATGTTTATTTTATTTTATTTTTAAATAAATTTTTATTGTTCATATAATTACAAATGTTCCTCCCCCCCCCCCACCATTGCTCTCCTCCACCAGGTTCCCACCCCACCCTCTGCCCTTTCCCCATTCCCCATTGTCCTCATCCATAGGTGCACAGTTTATGTTCAGTCTCTTCCCACATCCCCCTCTCCCCTTTTCCCCAAGAATCGTCAGTTCACTCCCCTTCCATACCTCTGATTCTATTATATTCAACAGTTAATATTGTTCATCAGATTTTTTTTTATTTCCTTGGTTTTTAGATTCACTTGTTGATAGTTACATATTTGTTGTTCATAATTTTTAATCTTTATTTACTTTCTCTTCTGAAAGAACCCCCTTCAGCAATTCATATAATTCTGGTTTGGTAGTGATGAACTCCTTTAGCTTTTTTTTTTATTAGTGAAGTTCTTTATCTGACCTTTGATTCTGAATGATAGCTTTGCTGGATAGATTATCTTTGGCTGTAGGTTCTTACTATTCATCACCTTGAATATTTCTTGCCATTCCCGTCTGGCCTGCATGGTTTCTGTTGAGAAATCAGCTGACAATCGTATAGGTGCTCCTTTATAGGTAATTACCTTTTTTGCTCTTGCTACTTTTAATATTTTCTCTTTGTCTTTTGCTCTTGGAATATTAATTATGATTTGTCTTGATGTGGTCCTCTTTGGATTCCTTTTGTTTGGAGTTCTGTGTGCTTCCTGGACTTGTAAGTCTAATTCTTTCCCCAGGTGGGGGAAGTTTTCTGTCACTATTTCTTTCAGTATGTTTTCGATATCTTGCTCTCTCTCATCTTCTGGGATCCCCATAATTCTGATGTTGGTTTGCTTGAAGTTGTCCCAGAGATTTCTTACATTATCTTTAATTTTCTGGATTCTCTTGCCTTCTAGCTTCTGTGGAGGAGTGTCTTCTGGCTCTTTATGTTCCAAATCTTTGACTTGATTCTTGCGATTCTTCCATTCTATTTTTAGGACTCTGTATATTTTTTATTTCAGACAATGTATTCTTTATTTCTTGTTGATCCTTTATCATTTCTTGTTGATCCCTTATCATTTCTTGTTGATTCCTTATTAATTCTAGTTGATCTCTTTTCATATCCTCATAGGTCTTATCGATCTTTTCTAGGAAATTCTTGAAAAACCTTATAAGCGTAGATTTGAACTCTATATCCAGTCGCTTTTTGTCCTTCATTTCTTTCATTTGTGATCTATTTTGTTGTCACATTTCACAGCTACAGATGGGGCAGAGTTTCAGGGTGGAGCCTACAGCCTTGCTTCCGTCAGCCCCGCCCTATGCAGTTCCTGTGTCTCAGTAATCCCCAGGGTCCTTCAGTACTCGTTGCAAGCACTTCTGAGAGAAAGGTGCCCTTGATTTTCGCCTGCTACCAAACAGTCTAGGCTCTCCCCCAATGAGCCCGGAACTGGGGTTCAGTCAGTTGGAAGAGGAGTTGGAGGTGGCGTTCAGAGCAGTCCAGAGCTTTTGTCTCCTTCCCGCTAGGGCAATCCCGCGGCACAGCCAACCATCCCTTCTCTGCGCACAATGTGCGCATCTCTGGGACCTCCTTTCACCGCTGCCCTGGGGTTCCGCCTTACAGCCCAGCTCCCTATGGATGAGCCTGGGTCCCTGGGGTCTGGCCTAGAACTGGGGTTCAGAGTAGTCGGAGCTTTTATCTCCTTCCCGCTGGGGAACGCCAGCCAGGCAATCAGCCACCCCTTCCTCAGGCTCCGTCCTCTCCGTGCACGCCGTGTGTCTCCGTACCTGAGGCTCTTACAGCTCCTCCGCTCTTCCTTCTGGTTTTTCCTTGCTTCTCGTTGTAGAATTTCCAGTCAGTCGACTTTCCTGTAGTTCTGGGTAATGTCCATTTTATATTTTAGTTGTATTTTATTGAAATTGTTGTGTGCGGCTGCGGCTAGGTGTTTACCTGGGCAGCCATCTTGGATGTCTCTGGATTTATGTTTATTTTACAGATCATTAGTATTTCATTTGGTGAAATTCTGTTTCTGGAAAGATGAAGTATTAGGGACCAGACTTACCCCTGTCTGTTTTAATGTTGTTTATTTTAGATTTATAAGCTCTTAGATACTTAATTAGAAGACAGAGATGCAAAAAAAGAAGTATTTTAAAATTGTTCTTAGTTTTCTTTTAGTACCTTTACAGTTTTATTTTTTTTCTGAGTAAGTCTTTGACCTGGTGTGAGGTGGGAAGTAGGAATTCAATTGTATTCTTTTTCAAATGACTGTCCAGTTTTTGTTGTGGAAAAATGTATCTTGTTTGTGGCAAACTAGTGCCATTTGAATCTCATCTCTCCACTTGGGGATACTCTCACGTTATGTACCCTACCTCCTCAAGCTATGAGCCAAAACTCAATTCCTCCCTTCTATGGTGGCTTCATCAAGCAGGCAAAACCTCCAACAAGTGAGGTCTTGATTTGGAAAAAAAGCATCATGAGGAGACAGATGCTGTCCAAATGTGGTTCCTGGAGAAGGTGATGAGGGACAGCAGAGACATGTGGAGAAGCCAGCAGCTGCAAAGCACATCTATAACTTCAAGAGTGATGCCAGCACCAGAAATGGTATAATCGTTCTTTGAGTAATTGGACAGGCTAATTTAGTTTCCAAATGCTTCATCTCAAAGCCTAACTCTGACCCTTCTGGAAATATTATTCTACTTAATATTGATTAATACATTTCTATTAAAACTACCTCAATCAGGCTGGGACCGGTTTGGCTCAGTGGATAGAGCGTTGGCCTGTGGACTGAAGGGTCCCGGGTTCGATTCCGGTTGAGGGCATGTACCTTGGTTGCAGACACATCCCCAGTGAGGGGTGTGCAAGAGGCAGCTGATCGATGATTCTCTCTCATCAGTGTTTCTGACTCTCTATCCCTCTCTCTTTCTCTCTGTGAAAAATCAATAAAATATATTTAAAAACAAAACAAAACTATCTCAATCAGATTCTATAATTGCAAATTAGAACCCTGATTAATATTATACATGAGCTGATACCATTTATTGAGTAACTAGAGGCCCGGTGTATGAGAATTCATGCAAGAGTAGGCCTTCATAGCCCCAGCTTCATCTGGAAGGTTGTCCAGATGGTGGTTCTCCTGCTTGGCTGTTCGGTTGATTTGCATATTATGCTTTTATTATTATAGATTTATCTTTTTCTCTACTGATCTGAATTGTACCTTTGGTAAAATTCTGCTCTGGAAAGATAGAGTATTAGGGACCAGACTTACTCTCTGCCTGAAACAAATTTTAAAGTAGACAAAATATATGAAACAATGTATCACAGACATATAACATTAGGTGGTACAGGACTGGGTCATCGAGAGAGGGGACACATGAGCCCTACAATTGCCCTAGCTTACTTTCATAGTTTTCTTTCTTTCTTTTTTTAAAATATATTTTTGTTGATTTAAGAGAAGAAGGGAGAGGGAGAGAGAGATAGAAACATCAATGATGAGAGAAAATCATTGATGGGCTGCCTCCTGTAAACTCCCCTCCCCCAACCCCATGGGGGATTGAGCCTGCAGCCCAAGCATGTGCCTTTGACCAGAATCAAACCCAGGACCTTCCAGTCCACAGTCCAACACTCTATCCATTGAGCTGAACCAGCTAGGGCCTTTCTTTTTATCTTTTTATCCTAACCCAAGGACATGCTTTCAGAGAGGAATGGCGCGGGTGGTGGTGAGAAGGAGAAGGGGAAGGAGAAGGGGAAGAAGAAGGGGAAGGGAAGGGAAAGGGAAAGGGGGAAAGGGAAAGGAAAAAGAATGACGAAGGGGAAAAGAAACATCAATCAGTTGCCCTCCATACCCACCCTGACCAGGGAGGACAGAACCTGAAACCCAGGTATGTGTCCTGCCCAGGAATCAAATTGGCAACCATTCAGTGCACAGGACAACGCTTAACCAACTGAGCCACTCCAACTGAGCTCCTAGCTTACTTTCTTGAGAGTTTTCAGTTTATAGTACAGAGAGCAGGAACCCAGGCAGACCTTGGGGGTCTCCCTGAGTTGAACAGATAGAGTTGGGAGACTGGGAGGTCATGGAAGCTAGAGACCACAAGGCAGAGTACCAGAGGGGAAAGAGCTACACAAAGAAAAAGTTCTGGATAAATGTGATTGGCTAAATGCTGATTAGCACATATGAGTATGTAAGCTACCCAAAGCTAGGAAAATAACTATCTGCAAGGAACACAGTCACCAGCGCTCACAGAGAGCCAGGAATAGTCTATGGTTGTACCAGGAAAAATAGAATGCATGGGGCATTGGGTAGA